CATCTTCCCACCCAGCCTTTAGCTGGGACGATATCAGACTAATTTTTAAACTTTTTGTTGCAACAGAGTCTTGCTTTGTTGCCTAGGCGTGTCCCCAACTCCTGGCCTCAAGCAATCCTCCCACCTCGGCCTCCCAAAGCACTGGGATTACAGGTGTGAACCTCCATATTCCACCTCCTTATCTGTTAAATGGGGCAATGATATCTACCTCATTGGGTTGTGGCAAGGATGCAGTTAAGTCATGTAGGTGGTAGACTTTGGGGGGGCACCATAAATAAGTTCCCTTTCTTCCCCTCTGAAATTCAGAGCTGCTTAGAGAGAGAGGAGCACAGGACTCAGTCAGCTGGAGATGAGAATGTCTGCTGTATCCTGCGTGGAGCGGCATCAGATGGTGTGACTCCAGAAGCAGCAGTTAGTTCAGCACCTCTAGCTTTAAGGTGCTGACCCAGCTGCCTGGTAGGAGGAATGACCACAAGGAGACAGCAGAGAGGTCACAAGAGCCCGGAGGGGGCACATGTGAGCACCCACTCCTTGTCCCTCGGGCAGAGAGAGAGGCCAGATGGGATCAGGAAATCACAGGGAAAGGCTCTGTTCAACAGTAGGCAAAGCATGGGCACAGTTCCTGAAGCATAGTATTTCATAAGTGAGCTGGGTCTCCTTTGCCTTCTGTATCTCCAAATAGATCCTGAATGTCACCATTTGTTTCTGGAGACCACCTTTGCATTTGTAACTTTCTCTCTCTCTCTCTCTCTGCCCCTCCTTCCCTTCCTGTTCTCTCTTTCTGCCTCCCACACACACACACATGAAATGCATACTATAAATGAATTGTGTCTTTACCTACTATATTAGTTTTCTGTTGCTGCTGTCATAAGTTACTACAACCTTAATTACTTAAAACCATACCCATTTATTATCTGGCAGTTCTGGTGGTCAGAAGTCCTAAGTTCAAAGTGTCAGCAGGGTCATATTCCTTCTGGAGAATCTAGGGGGATGATCCCTGTCCTTGACTTTTTCAAGTTCTAGAATCTGTCTGCATTTTTGGGCTTGCCGGCCCTTCCTCCGTCTTCAAAGTCAACAGCATAGCTATCTTCAATCTCTCTTCCTCTCTCTGTCCTTCCATCTTCTCTCTCCAACTCTGATCCTCCTACCTCCCACTTGTAAGTACCCTGGGGATTACACTTACAGCGCACCCAGATGAGCCAGGGTAACTTCCCCATCTCCGGATCCTGGACTTACCACATCTGCAAGATCTCTTTTGCCATAGAAACTAAGATACTCGGGTTCCCGGGCTTGGGATGTGGACATTTCGGGTGGACCATTGCTCCTCCCACTATATCTGGCAAGCATAAGTGAAGCCATACTTGATGTCAGCCTTACATTGCTCTAGGCAAAAGTAAAGTGAGTGTTTTCTCTTATGGAGTCTGAATTAGTCCTTAGACGTGTTGCCTACACAAGCTGCCAAGGGGGCAAAAATCATGGGGCGTGTTACACTTTGTCTCTAAAACACTATATCATGAGTGAAGAATGAGGGACTCAGGGCATAGAGGCAGGGGCCCAAGAAGACCTAAATCCTTCCCCTCTGCCCCCTCCCCCCAAGAGCTGCAAGACCCTTCAAAGTCCCACCCCACACGGAGGAGGCAGAAGATCAGACACAGGGGGGTGTTCCTGCCTGTGACACACTTCCAACTATCAAATGCTCTTCTTAACCAAGGAGCCGTTGCATCACAGCAGAGAGATGGAACCTTCTAGATGACACTACCACTTGAGAGACACCACTTATACAAAAGGCATGGTCCTGGGTGCTTTATTTAGCGTTTTAAATTTTTTTTCAAGAACCCTGAATGTCTGAGCATTATTACCTTTCTTTGGAGAAAGGAGATTCAGAGACGTGAGTTCACTTGCCTGTAGCCACACAGATCATAAGTGCTGGGCTTGGAATCTGGTCCACAAACCCCCAGAGCTGCTGCTCCTTCCACTCCGTCACCTGCCATGCCGGGGAAGACTGGGGCGACCCAGAAGAGCAGAGTTTCATGGTGAACAAGGTCAGCACACGTACACTCCAGGGGAGGGTCCAGGGAAGGACACTCTGAGTTTCCTGGGCACGTCCTTATTCCACAGTGACCTCGCACTGTCAGTCTGAGAACTGTCAGAGTGAGCAGAGGTGAAGGCAAAGGCAGTCACCTTCCTCCCCCATCAAATGACGCAGGGGAGGGTAGTGCCTTCATGGAGCAAACAGAATAAGGCTGGCAGTTTGTGTGATGTACTGGCCTTCCCCCTGGGGACAGGGCCAGCTGACAGACCCTCCCTCACAGGCCCTAGGCTGGACGAGAGGGTTTGAGGGCCGATTTCTGAGTTTTGATGCATAAATGGAGAATGAGAGGACTGTTTTCATCGTTTCTATAATTGCCTCTCAATGAACATAGAACTTAACAAGGACCCTCTCCACTCACATTTAAACCCATCAAGGGACGTCCACGGCAGTGGATTGAAACCAGGGAGGAGGGGACTATGCGGGGTGCGAGGGGTCGGGGGGAGGGGCTGGGCATGGCTGGGGAGCTTCACTCAGAGGAATCCGGTCTGAGGCTGGGCCCCGGGGAACAGGAGCAAGCAGGTCTGGGTGTGGGGCTCGGAGCCGAGGCCATGAAGGACACACATGCCGGAGGCCACTTTGACAAGGGGGGCGCGGGGGGAGCAAGAGGGGTCCCAAGAGAGCTTTGGCCTTTGAAAGCCAGCGAAGGTGGGTGATGATTAAGAAAGGGTCTTGCACTTCTGGATTCCAGCCTTGCCCTCAAGGCACACTGGGTATCTTGCAGAGGTGGTCAGTCCAGGACCCGGAGGTGGGGCGCTTACCCTGGCTCATCTGGGTGCCCTGCAAGTGCAATCCCCAGGGTCCTTACAAATGGCGCTAGGAGCATCAGAGGCGGAGAGCGAAGAAGCAAGGATGGAAGCAGAGGCCAGAGACAGGAAGAGAGCTTGAAGACGCCGGTGCTGCTGACTTTGACGATGAGGGAAAGGGCCGTGAGAGGAGGCGCTTATGTAACAAATTCCACGGGCTGGGGGTTTGGGGGCTAATGGGAGCTTCTGCCACAGCCTTGAGAGCTACAGGAATGAATGTGCCAGCAGCCACTTCTGTGCATTGTGGATGTACAGAGCAGAGGCTCAGGCTCGAGGTGCAGTCCCATGGTCATGCGCGTGCACGGCGGATGCGGAACAGGCGGCCTCTGGTTCACCCGAACATTCAAGCCCATTTGCCGACAGGGGCATCAGCGCCCACAAGCTCCAAGAAGAGTGTGCAGTAGTTCTGGGGGCTTCTCCAGGTGTGCCTGCAACTTTATGAAGAATTGCCTTTTCCATGACCAGACCCTCGCCACTGCTGTCCTGCTAGACTCTGGGGGCTGTGTGCTTTCTGAGCGATGGCTGTCGCCATGTGTCCCGGCTTTGGCCCCCCTCCCTGCCCTGGAGAGATGAATCTCCTCTTTCGCTCTCTTTCTCTAATTTACTTTTTAAATAGACGATATTTTCTAATATAAAAAAGAGAATTGCCTTCTTCACTAAAACATTAACCATCCGTAGGTATAAGCAGGCCCTGACTCTTCCCCTCACCTAATGCATGAACCAATTTTGCGGAACAAATGCTGTCGAGAAGACAAATCTGGGGGAACGAGCTTTATCCAGAAGCAAAGCGCCCAATGTAAGAGCAAGCCCAGCTAACGGCAGACCTGTCTAAGGCCCACAGCAGCGGGTTTTCCCCGTCAGAATTCATGTTGTTAGATCAGTGTGGTTTCTGCCATCCTGAACACTCATGGTTGGAAGGAAACGACTGGGACAGCGAGAATGCAGACCTCACTCGTGTCCAATCTGCTAGTCCAAAACCTCAAAGGAAACACTGAAGAGTGACAGCTCTCTCCCAAGTCCCAGCACCTCACGGGACGGGAGGGGTAGACTCGGCTGGGTTCTTTCTCCCCGAAGGAGACCAGTCCCAGCAGGGCACAGAGAACTGCCTGAGGTCACACAGCTACTTCAAGCTGGAGCTGGGTCTCCAAACTCCTAACCAGCGATTGTCTGGTGCCCCGCCAGTGTCAGTGGGATTTGGTTTGACCTCATGGGGCAGAAGACTCAAGAGCCACCTCAACAAGATGGATGGTTTTCTCACTCACATGAAGTGAGCTGGGAGAGCTGGTGCGGCAAGTCTGGGAACACACGTCCTGGTTTGCCCAGGACAGCCTAAGCGCATCCCGCTGTCCTGGCACAATTATTAATATTCTAAAAAGTGCCCACATTTGGATAATAAATTATGGAATTGCTCTAGTCAGAGAGGACACAGGCCAACTCCTTCCAACTTCTTGTTCCAGCATCTGAACAGGTGACTTACCACCCCAAGGCAGGAGCTGTATGTGCAACTGTGCAGGCTGTGCATTGCACAACTCTTGGAGCATAATTCATACTGTACCTGATGTAGATTTGTTATAACAAATTTTCAGTGGATGACAGTAAAGTGTCTTGTGGGGCAGGGATCTTTTCTGAATCTCACAAAGTTCCCATGGGGGTTCATGGCAGTTCTGAATTGAGGTCACTTAGTGACCCAAGATGGCTGCTGAAGTGCCAGCCATCACATCCACCATCCTGACAGCAGAAAGGAGGAAGGGGAAAAAAATGGAACACACTTTCTTGATGAAAAGCTCCTTTCAAAAAAGGAGACTTCCTGAAAGACACACCAACATTACTGTTTTCATCTTATTGCCACACCCAGCTGCAAGGAAGACTGGGAGGTATAGTCTTTTAGCTGGGCATGTGTCACCCACAGTAGTGAAGTAGTTCTGTTTGTAACAAAGAAAGGAAAAAGGTGAGATGAGGGCAAAGCATGAGCATCCACACCACACAGCTCCTCCTTAGAATAGAGAGTCAGCAACAAAGCTCAGAGACCACTTCAGACTTGACTTGGATTCAGAGACTAGATCGAGGTGTTCCACTGACTTTCTCTCTTCTTTTCTGCATTGCAGATTTGGTTCTACACCAACAGCATCTTTGGAAAAGCTGGGATCCCTCCGGCAAAGATCCCGTACATCACCTTGAGCACAGGAGGCATCGAGACTTTGGCCGCCGTCTTCTCCGTAAGTCAGCTCGGGCTACTCCTGAGGATGCCGCAGGGGGTGGACAGCACCACGAGGGTCCTAGGCAACACATGGACACAGCTGTCACGGAGCAAGCCCTTTGCCATGCCAAGGAGCCTGGATCTCAGGAGTTCATTACGCAGGTCTTCACTGCCATTTCACTTGTGTGGAGAGTGTTCCTTCCACATTCTGCCTCCCTGCCACATTCCTTGCAGTAAGCAGCTCCCTTCCTTTGACTCATCTAGTCACGAATGTGCAATCTGAACGCCCTGTGAAAAAGGGCTGTGTCGTCCCTGGGGATTCAGATCAGAAGGTCCATGCGAGTATCCAATCTCTTGTCACAACTTTAAAAATGTTTCCGAGCCATCAGCTGTCGTCTCATCACCCCAAACGTGCAGGAATTTGTAAGGCAAAGAAAAGGAGAAAGGTACCTTTCATGGTGGCTCATTCCTATAATCACTGGGCTTTAGTCTGAGGTGGGAGGATCATTTGAACTTAGGAGCTTGACACCAGCCTGGGTAGCATAGCAACCCCATCTCTACAAAAAAATTTGAAAAGTTAGCTGGGTATGGTCGTGCATACCTGTAGTCCCAGTTACTCAGAAGGCTGAGGCAGGAGGATCATTTGGGCCCAGAAACTCCAGCCTTCAGTGAGCTATGATTGGGCCACTGTCCTTGAGCCTGTGTGACAGAGTGAGACCCTGTCTTCAAAAAAAAAAAGAAAAAGAAAATGAAAAGAAGCGGGGAAAGGCGAAGCTAGTATCTCAGTATTCTAGAAAGGGTGACCTCAATAATAAGCAAGAATGATCAAAAGGAGGCATGGAGCCCATCACTCCTTCTCAGCCTCCAATATGCAAAATAGACATGGAGGGTGGGGGTTGGGTGACTTCTGAAATTTTCCAGATTTTGGAATCAGACCAAACTGGATTGGAATTCTGATTCTGGCACTCCTTGGCTGCGTGGTGTCGGGCAGTGCACTCAACCCCTTTGAATTTCAGTTTCTCTCTTATGAGATAGTTGTGTCCCTTTTATCTTGTTAGAGTTATAGTCTGCGCCTTGGGTTTGCCCTCAAAAGAAAAGAGGGAGGGCTGACATCAGAGCATTATAGGCTAACCTCAGAGTGTTGCATTCTCTGACCTTGAAGGAGAGGTCATTTATTTTCACTCCTGCCAGTGGATTTGCATCGACAAGACTGATGCCCCTGCAGCCAGACAGCGGCCTCCTGTTGCATCTGTAAGTTGTTGACAGAACGTTTTACTTGCCTCCTCACTCTTGATGGGTTGCTCTAACAAGATGCTTTTTAAAATGGAAATCGGGAAAAAATGTGAAGGAATGCTGTTTGACCTCCTTCCCTTCCTCTTCACAGCCTTTTGGTTAGAGGGAAAACATTTCCGTGTTTCACAGGCTGGACATTCCAAAAATTCCTGTCGTTCTCAAGGTGTCGACTGCACTCGTTTCCATGATTGATTTTTACTTTCGTCAGCAGAAGAATGTAGTCATTCTGGTATGAAAACAATGGAACAAGTACAGGAAATTTCTCTTATTGTTTTTGGTTTTTGTGTAGTAATTCATTGTTATAAAAAAATCAATACCCAACTCATTAGGACACATTTGAAAAATTCAGAAAAATAGAGACGAACAAAGAAGCACCTCTCTGCCATTATTCTACCCAAGGAAGTTTGGCCGGTCCTTGCCTTGTCTTTCTCTACATAGATGTGTGTTTCTTACACAGTGGTACAGCATCCCTATTGTACCAGATACTCTAATTCTGCTTTTGTTCATGCGATCTTATGTCGGAATGATATTCCATTTTCTTGTTTATTAAGTAATTTTTCGTTGACGTATACCGTGCGTACAGAGAAGTATGAAGGTCATCGCCCCCTCTGAATTAACACCAGTGGGGAAAGCTGTATCATCTTCCAAGCATGTGCTAGATGGCAATTTTCTTAACCACCACGAGGCTGGTGAACATCGCTACTCAGAGTCTGGACAGCAGAGCCACACTGCCTGGGTTCCAAACTTAGCTCCGTTCCTTTTCCAGCTGTGTGGCCCCAAATAAGGTATTCAAAGCTCTGTGACTCAGTTTTCCCACTTCTAAAGGTCATCATACTTGCCTCAGAGGGATGGGCTGAGGATTATGCAAATAAATGCACACAGAGACTCAAGCAGTGACTGGCAAATGATGTGCACTCAGTACGTGCTAACTATCCTTGTCCTCTTTAGGGGGGTTTCCATGATTTGTCATTCTTAATGTCTGGGATGAACATCCTTTCAGAGATGAAGAGTTCTCAACCACTCTTTGACTTTACTGAGCAAAAGGGCTCACCGGAGGCCAATACTATGACTCTGAATTTTTTTTTAAGTTTAGTGTGGTGGGTTCAAGTAATTTGCCATATTAGTAGGTTGCCTGCAGGTGAAGTTTGGGCTTCTAGCTGGTTCTTTCTCCCCTGATAATGGCCCAGGTACCCAGCGTGTTGCCATGTGCCCCTCCACCCTCCTTCCTCCGCTAGCCATGCTCAGCATCTGCTGATCCCACTTTTGTGCTTGTGTGACCGTGATCAGAGCCTACTTATGAGTGAGAAAATGGTATTCAGGTCTTGGTTTCTGTGATCGTTCCCCTAGTACGATGGTCTCCATCTGTATCCAACACTGGGTTTTTTGAGGAAAGAAAATATTTCATTGCACGTCAACTAACAAGGAGACAGAAGTCAAATTCAAATCCCTCTCCCTGTGCTGACTTCAAGGCAGTAAGTTTATTAGAAAAGGTTCAGGGCTGGATTCTGGGGTTAGTAGGTGATTGGCAGAAGGAAAGTGGAGGGGAGGGCTGGAAGGTCCTCAGGCATGTACAGTTATCTCTTCGATCTCCTCATCGGTCTCGTGTGCAATTCAGAGAAGTTATTGTGAAAACTGCAGTGAAAATTCAGGCTGTGGTATGAGTCAGTCCATTCTGCACAGACTCCATTCAGCCACGTTGGTTCCAATGAACTTCAGCCAGTTTTCTGATCTCACAAGCAGAGGAAGTTTCAGTGATTCAGCAAGCTGTTTCTCTCTCTCTCTCTCTCTCTCTTTCTTGCTTTTAACTTTCTATCCTGTAAACTCAAGAGTTTCTACTAGTCCTAGGGTTCTTTGATGCTTTGAGGGTTGGTTTCACTTGCAATCTTGGCAGCTGAGGAAACCAACTGTGACTTACAACCAAAGGATTGACTGACGCAGGGTCCCACGGCAAGTTAGGTCAGAATCTGAGGGAGCAGGGAAAGAGAACATCGTGGGCCCCCTGCTGTCCCCCAGACCCTGAAGCGCTCTACATGGACCTCAGGAATGCCCACATGGCTCCTGAAAGTCCAGCTATTGCCCTTGCTTGACCAAGTAGCAACATAGGGGCTTGGTGACGTGTCCACCCTTGGTCTCCCCAGATCCAGAAGCCACTTCCTCCAGCCCCCCGCCCTGTCTGACCGGTAGATCTTCTTCGTCAAAAGTGGACCATATTTGGCAAAATATTCCTTGAAAGTGCTAATCCTAGAAAGAAGGAAAGATGACCTCTCCCTCCTGGGAGACGAGGGAGCCTTTCTGAAATCAGGGATTTGGAGGTGCAGCCCCTGGAGAGTTCCCGCTGCTGTTGCTGTTTATGCATGGATCACGGCAGGTTGTAGTCACCTGGACCATGGCCTGCTTGGTGTCCCGCCCTTTGACGAGCTCTTGCCAGCTCCTCCTGTAGTCTGGCTGTGGCCCCAGTCTGACAGAGGGTCTTTGCCATGTGCCTGCCTGCAGGAGCTCACAGCCCGGTGGAGGGGGCTGACTGTGGCCCAAGGCAGAAGGATGTCTGGTTGCTCTAGAGGAAGCTCTGAGGGGGCCCTGAGCAGGAAGTGATGGCTTCATAGTTCTGGTAGTAGAGTCATTCATTCGTGTGTCCATCCACTCCCCCACACACCCAAAGCATACCCGTGCAGTGCCAGTGGACACTGGTGAAGTTATCATGATGCAGAGAGATCAACAGACCTGAAAACAGAGGCTACCACATGGAACACTGAGATAAGCTCTCCTCTGAGGGGTTCCAGGAGGACTTCCTGGAGGAGGGCACCAGGAAGCTAAGAGGTGAGGGGTCAGCAGGAATTAGATGATGGGATGAGAAATGCACTGGTTGGTCAGTCCCCCTTTTATCTTCTCAAAGAGCTGGAGACTCAAGGACAGATGCAGAATAGTCCCTTGGAAACAGTTTCCCTAATTTCTGGAAAACTACAATATTAAATTCAGTGTGAGACTGGGAGTGTGGGATGGAAGAATGGGCTGGAAGAGAAAGAACATTGACTTTAGAACCAGGAAGCTCTGAATTCAAGTCCTGATCATCTGCTTATCTGCTGAGTAGTGTTGGAACATTGCCCAATACCTCTGAATCTATTTGCTCATCTGTAAAATGGACATAACCATGCCTACCTGTAGCAAGTAAAATAATGGCTACTCAAAATGTTCATATTTTAATTCCTGGAAGCTGTAAAAATGTCACCTTACTGAGCACAAAGGAACTTTGCAGATGTAACTCATCTTGAGACAGGGAGATGGCCCAGGTGGGCCAGTGTCACCACAGGTCCTTATCAAAGGGAGACAGGAGGACGAAAGTCAGAGGAAGAGTGGTGCCATCGCTGGTGTTGATGACGAGGAAGGGGCCACCAGCCAAGGAATACTGACGGCCTCTCGAAACTGGAGAAGACAAGGAAGCATCCTCCTTGGAGCCTCCAGAAGAAGTGCAGCGCTGCTGATGGTCGTTTTTTGCACAGTGAGGCCCCGTTGAGACTTCCAGTCTCCAAAGCTGTCAGATAATACCTCTGTGCTGTTTCAAGTCAATGAGACTGTGGTAACTTGCTATAGCAGCAACAGGAAACGAATGCAGCACTCTACAGAGTTGTCATGGAAACAGCATTCACAGTGTGGGAAGGCCACTTCCGAATTCCTGACAGAGTCAATAGTCAGCAAATCCCTTTCCTTTTCCAAAGTTGTGTTGCCTTG